ATCCATGTCGCCTTCATCCTCCTCCTCCTCATCATCGTCGTCGTCCTCACTACTAGAGCCGCTTCCGTCGCTCTCACTGTCACTCCCAGGATCGTAATCTTCCTCGTCCTCGTCTTCTTGATCTTCCAACTCGCGTTGGGCTTTCTGTAGTTCACTTTCCTCCTCGACAGCCCCTTCCTCATTGGCAGCGGCTTCATCGTCTCCCTTGACACTGTTGACATTGTATCGCTTCGCACGTCGTGCTTCGGCAAGACTGGCATCCTGCAGACCATGCTTTTTGATATAACCATCAATTCCGGAGAAGTCGGCCTGGTCTATCATGGAAAACTCGAATTCCTGCGTCTCTTCGCTTGACGTAGGCCGAGCTACAACATTGAGATTAAAGGTCCGTTGCAGGACAGAGGTGTATGAAATTGAGTCGACGTTTTCAAAGGCAAAGAAGACCAGTGGTTTCTTGAACCCGAATAGTATTCCCGTAGAAAGAAGGAAGAGATAGCCTGCGATGTAACCATTTTAGTCATGGGGACATGAGGAAAGAACATGGCGTGCATACCTTCTTTACTGCCGCGGAAGGCCTTGACATGATAGGCCTTCTCCCCCTTGCGGTGAGCCTCAGGCATAGCACTCACGAACTCTCGCTCATCCGGGCGCACAACCTTGGTCCGTGGGAGGCTGTCGTTCAATATCCGCTGGACAAGCTTATCTGTGGTTTCTTCGTTGTCCGTTCCAAGCTGTTGTCCATTGCCTGAGAACGCTGCCTTGGGCGGTCCATCGTTGACCGTCCATACGATGGCATCGGGAGCAGCTACACCTTCAGGTGGTGAGTTGACGCCGTCCGCATATTGGGGGATAATGCAGAAATTAAATTGTCGCTGGTTCTTCTCGGGAACGGGGAGGCACAGGACATGCTCTGTTTGGATCCAACAACATTGTCAGCATTGATACCAATTCCGTCAACCATAGTTCTACACATACGTATGTTATCCAATGGTACTCCAAACTCGACCTCCTTCGATGTCTGGTTTCTCGTACGTAGGAATCCGGCGGTGATTTCAAGTGTAAGCTTCTTCCGCTGGGGAACTGCAAAGGAAACATCCTGCATGTAGAACTGGAGCGAAGTATCTGCTTTCAAGTCGCCGGAGGATTGGGCACTTGTAGCATTGCCATTTTGTAGTTTTCGTTTCTTCATGGCCGGGCCGTCGGTGACGACCTCGACAGGCCGCACGGGGGCGGTTGCAGTCCTGGCCAGCAGGCTGGAAGTGTATTTCGCGATATCTTCGAAGAGAAGTCCATGTTGCGGGGTATGTGCTGTTTACAGGTCGAGAGGGTCAGCCGGCAGTCCTTGCTCCTTCTATGGATTTGTGGGGTGAAAGTAGATTGTTGTCTTAAGCGACATAACACGCACCGATCGCATCGTAAACCCGTTTTTTGAGCGCTGGTTGGGCGGCAAAGGCGTCCTCAATGGCCGGGTTACTGGACGGCACCGATGAGTTGATCGTGGCAAAAGCCATGCTGTGGAAGGTGACAGCCCCAATGACGCTTCTATATATAATCTGCGTAAGTCAAAACAGTTGAGGCCGCCTAGAACAAAGGAGGTTGAAATGGGGAGAAATGGGTAAACCGGGACGCGGATCGGATGGATGAAGAAAGATAAGTAGTTAGCAAGGAACGAAGCTGCAGACCTCCCCTGGCGGCACTGTCGACCCGTGGGCGCGCGCATCCATAATTTCGAGCGCATTTGGGGCAAAGTAGTCCGCAAAGATTGGGTCCGGTCGCGCCTACGTCCAGTCTTCTTGCGACGGATGTAACTGTACTCAAATCAACCTACATTTTGGTGCTGTAGAGAAGCAGCCTATCCGTACTATTCATCTTATACATTCAGATTCTATGCTACAGTAGTATAATTGTGTACACCCATTGGAAAAAAAGGGAAAAAGTGAAAAGAAACAGAAAAGACCCAGGCGCACTCTCCCACAAGTCGGAACACCTAACGAAATCCCAGCAAGCAATTAGGCTTTCTTGGTCGCTTTCTCCTTCATGAAGTTCTCAATGAATCCGACCGTCTTATCATCCAGGATGTAATTTCCATTGGCATCCTTTCTCGCGTTCTGGCGCTCCTGCCTCTTGGCCTGAAGCATGGCCAAGAATTCACCTCTGGGTGTCAACAAAGACCGGCTTTGCAGATATTCCCTTCTGTAGTCTTCCATCTTCCTGGCTTCCACCCACTCCTCATCGTGTCTCGTTCTGTACTTCGAAAACTTGTTGCGGACTTCGTCCAGGACGCTGGGAGGGAACGGGGCGTAGTGCAACGACGGCATCCAAGTGGGCGTTTCAACTTCCATACGGAGCGTGTCCCAGGCCTCATCCTTCATTTCTGCAGGGTCACTTCGGGGCCAAGGAATCTCAATGTCTTCACCGGCAATGTATCTCGTGTGTCGGGGCGTTTCGGTGCCGTAATCGCGTTCGAGGAAAGGCTCTCCGCCGCGGACATGTTCAACCAATACATCTCGTGTGGCGCCGGTGACAGGATCATCGAGAGCGACGACAAGGCGAACATCGTCGATGGAAAGGGGCAGGCTCACGGACTGGAAGGGGCTCGAGTTGCCATACTGCTCATTCAGCCAGTCGGGGAAGTGGACATCGGCCTGTTATTGGAAAACCCAAGGATCAGCATACGAAACAGTGGTTACTCCAGACATATTCTCATACCATGTTGAGATCCTTGACCACAACAGTCTCGGTCGTAGCATCCACCCGAGTAACCTCGTTGATCTTGCCCTTGTCTTTGCCCTTCATGATGCATACTCGGTCGCCGGGAGCAATGTTGATGTACTGTCTCCGCAAGTGCTCCGGAATAGGCGGAGGGTTCATTGCCTGAGGGCTTAACGCACCGAAAAGCCTCCCTTCAAGACCGGCATCACGCTGAGGAGCCAGGGGTCCACGGAGCCAGTCTTCACGGCGTCGCTGTCTTTCCGCGCGGAGGTTATCGAGCTCGATGCGGTTGTAGGCAAAGCGCTGCCTTAGACTGTCCTTCAATTCCTCGCGTTCGGCTGATTTGGAGGCTCGAACTGCTTTCCGCGTGGCCTGGTTCCGCGCCAGGGCGGTCCTTCGAATGACCTTCTGCATCTTGACTGTTGCCCAGCAATGGCCGATTGTTCCCGCGGAGTTACCAGGAAGCCTTGAGAGATGCTCGGGAGGGAAAATTGCGGCCCTGGTTCGTGCACGTGACCGGGACTATGGAGAGCCAATGGGGAAACAAAATGACGGGGTTCCGAAACTACTAAGTAGTTAGTACTACTACCATGTACACACTGGAATTTGTCTCGTCACAACATTTGCTAGTGACTATTTATTTAGCAGACTCTGAAGATCGCTTTGTTATAAGCACTGAATAATTGAGTACATTCCAGCAGATATGCAGCAACTACCATCAAAGAAAGCCTGGCCATAGCGCCAAAACTAGCACGTGCGCCTAGGACTAGGTAAGTAGTACTCACATCAATACCTTTCCAAGGCCCCTCCGATCGAGACAGGGTGCACTTCATATTCAGTACTCAGTATTCCTTCAAGAAACCCAAGATCCTGGTAAGTGAAACCCCCAATATATTTGAGAAACGGAGAGAATTGTTTGATCAGTACGAATTGAAGCATCGTTATCAGTGTTTCTCAAACCATAGAGGCCAAAGAGGACTAATGTAGACTGAGGATCTTAGACTTATTCTACAGAGCATATAAGTCGTTATGGCACAGGGCTGGCCATTAACCATAGATAGATTGCAACTATACTCGAGATCATCACTCATGTTCAACAAAGACTGGTCATACCATCTTCGTTTGGGTATAAGTGCTTCTTTGGTCGTCTCCTATAGATGTAAACATCGTAACATCCAGTGCGCGGTGTTATTCGCGGGAGACTTGCTTTATATATCAGAAGAAAGAAGAGTGTATCATGTTGCAAATAGATCATGCTACCTCTAAGGACCATTATAACCCACAAGGTTGGCCCTGTCCTCATAGTCTCCCAGGGAGTAACGCCAACTATTCCCGCTGCAGGTACTGATACTATAATAGGATATCCCAGTCTTCTGAGTCATTATTGAATTCATATCAGCGGTGGTCTTCATGGCACAGCCGCCATCCTCGTCAACCCGGAAGGCACAAGGGGTATGCCATCATTGGCAACAGGTATCCGTAGCAGGCAACAACATAGTGTTTCCAGTACATGCCCAGCATACTTCAGTGTACTCTGCTTTGTGAAATCACCGGCGAGCTAACGCAGGGACCTCTCGCGCGATGACTTGTTCAATGATGTGCGAGGTACTGAGTAGATCCTCCGGGAAGGTACACACACTCATGAGCTACCTAATCCAACGTCCAAATCTATCGACACAGTGAAGTGGGTTGGCAGACAATTGTATAGGTTCGTAATCCATCGGTGACTGCCATCCTTACTGCAAGAAGCCTCCTGTAGGACAAATGCCAATGTAGCAGATCTCTGGGACGGTGTCACCGATCATGTCTTACCACTGCTGAGAGTTACGGATCCCCAATTGGATTCAGCACAGCATCTGACACGATCAGTAGGCAATAAGCAGGTTTGGTCAGACACAACAACAGCCTGCCAAGTCAGCCAGGAACAAGACTGAGCTAGCAACATTTCAATAGCGTTTGCTGTCTGAGAGACTGACTCAGAACAGAGAAGATCATGTACTCTATAGGTGCACAGGACCTGCTCTCGTACAGCAACTAGACCCAGAAGGCCGTGGCAGCTTATCTATGGTTGCTTTCTCCGCACGAAGGAACTCGGAGAGTACGGAGAATCGACTCCATAGTGGAAGTAAAGCGTCTCGGCCGCGGACTTGCAGCATCTTTCCTGCACTTCCGCATTCCGCATACGAAACGTCAGCCAGGCCATTTGCTGAGTCTCGAGTGCGGTCACAACCACCCCACTTGACAACCAGCTATTTGGGTTGGTGACCATATACTCCGTGATCCTCTGCGTTTTTCGATCCTCGATCTGTTTTGATATTCATGATAGGAAAGAGGTAAAGGAGTTACCTGCTTCCAGTCAAAGATGACGTTTGCACTGGAGAAATATACGTACCGACCATGTTTGGTAAAGAGCATGGCGATCGATTGCACCGCCACGTCTCTTTGCTGTCGGTAATTGAAGGAAGCATCTCCCCCCTAGCGGGTCTGGACGGTTACCGTCATACCGCACCAGAAGTACGTACCTTTGGTTACTCCTCCCAGGCTAAGCCTAATCCCCTCGGAAGGTCCGATGGTTATCTTGAGTGCCGATGGTCTGTCATTCTTCTGGAAATTGAAGGCACTTTGCAGGAAATATCATCATATTTACTCCATAATTCTCATAGAAAGGCTGGCTTGGTGATGAGTTGTTCGCTGAAAAAGCAATCTGACCGCTGCCTGGCTACACTCGGATCGCCAATGCAGACCGTACAGCAGGTATCTACACACTCAGTCTTGGATTATCGGGACATCCACAATGGAACGAATCAGCCTAAAGATAGGGCGCCTGCAGGGTTATCGTCTTTGGGTTATCCCTTCCACCACCAGCCGTCTACATCATTGCGAGCTGCAGACTATGATGTTATTTCTTGGGGCGGAGTACTCCATGCGTGGTGTAGCACGATGTAATGAGTGATTCAAGATGCATAGATGAAATCCAGCCGGTATGTCTGTCCAAGGAAAAAAGCCGGGGTAGCATGCAGGGAAGACCCTAATGAGTATAGCGAATCGAGGAATTGCTTGACCTCCCGAAGACTTGTATTAAACTTGGAATTTGCTGGCTTGATTATCGCTATCTTTAATGCTGAAGCATGGAAGCGAGAGGAACACATAAGTTACAAAATACTGTGGCAGCTTACCCAGACAACCGGAGGGACGCGACACCGCCGATTAGGAGAAGTATGGAGCCACAGCCGACAGCTCCGACTCTCTGGGGCGCCCACAGGCTTCTAGGCTCTCTCCGACTATGGTGACGGTAACTATGGTGTCGACGGAAGTTCTTTTACTGCGGATGTAGAATGGACCATGTTACTGGTAGAACTATCACGAATTATATTCAATTGTAGGAGGCAATTTTTGTTTACCTTTTTATTTTTGCAGTTGCCCCCCCGCCCTCGAAATTGTTCGGAAGATAAGCCCGCGGAATATTGAAGAAGGCTAAGGCAATGCAGTCTGACGACTGACATCTATTTGGTGCTTTAGTCTACTAAGTAACTTATCACTACGCAGCCGAGATGGACCGAAGAATTAGTTAGGTTGGAGCTTAATAGCAGCAAAGAAGGAGCTCAACTATTACAGGGGAAGAAATTGGACGAAGGTTGACTGGGCTGAATGCCTGGGAATGAATACATAGTCGTAAACACGGGCCACGACAATACGTAAGTGCCACTGATACCCGTAGGTAATGTTGATTATTACTGCGTTCACCCTGTCATTAGTCTTCAGCCACGGTGGCTTCGACGGAGAATGAAGGCAGACCAAACTAGGCAGCTAAGTAAGCAGCATTGTACGAAGGAGAGAAACTGGGTCACGAGCGAAACCAATTCGGTGCCTGTTAAAAGGAGGTAAATTGATGGAAGAAAAGGAAACATGGCAATTGTAAAGATGAAAAGAAAGAAAGAAAAGAAAGAGAAAGAAAGGGCGTGGAAAGATTATCCGACATCTCTCATCTGGTTGGCCCATAAACCATTTTGTAAATTCCAATGCGATACAAGCCATCAAACTGTACTGTGTCCTACTGAGGGGACTGGGAAAGCATATCACGTCATTCCAAGTATGATACTTTTTTTTTTCTTTTTGCCTTTGGTTCCGTAGTCATCTACATACAGTAAGTAATAAGAGTGTGTCCAATATGGGAGGAAACAGAATAAATAATAGTATCACATGAATGGGGAAATTGGAGTGAAAGGAGAGAGAGTGTGGGTGGAAAATAGAATCGTCATAACCTGAATCAAATCAATTCAAAATAAAATAAAAAATAATTAAAGAACTAACTGGCTTTCACAGCCACATAGCAATCTCACCAGGAAAGGTGGATGGGGCTGGGCCAAATGTCGCTTGCCAACCGTTTCAGGCCCTTCTAGTCTGGGTTTGGTCAGGTTCCTTTCCTTAGTCACCCTACTTTTCGGGAACAGGGAGCCTCACCTGAAAGGACGGGGGGGGGGGGGGAAACGAAGTTACGAAAGAACAGAACGTCGCCCAAACGAAGGAGGAGCCAAAAGCCAGCCCTGGGGCCAACCGCCGATAACTGACCCATACACACGCCAGCAGCAAAGCAGCAGCAGTACCAATCCAGCTGCACCAAGCATTGTCTCTCTCCCTCTCCTCTCTTTCTTCTCTCTCTTCCTCTCCCTCTCTTCTCTTCCATCCTTCTATCAACAACCTTCTCCTCCCTTCCTCATCATTGTTCCTTTGGGAACTTTTTTTTTCCTACCTTTTGTGCCATTCTTTCCTCGTAAACTCGTTTGTTGGGTTTATTACTGGAAACTCTTGGCTTGGCCATTCACCCTGCCTTTCCCTCCCTGAATATTTTAGTCCGCGCCCGTTGCGCCTACGACTCCCCTGCACCGTACGTGATAACCCTTTTCCTCGGGCGCCTGACTTGTCCCTTTCTCTACTCTCAACTTCCCCCATCCAACACCCCCATCCATCCACTCCCTGCAACAACAGCTTCCCACCTCGCTCGTTGTCGTTGGCCACTCTTTCACCACATCACCCCCTTTATTTCTATTCAACTTCTCTTCCTCCTCGTCCTTTGCTAATCCTCCACGCTTTGAAAGATGGCTGAAATCCGCCGCAAGCTCGTCATCGTGGGCGATGGTGCCTGCGGTAAGACTTGTCTTTTGATGTGAGTATCCTCTATTCTTCCAATTTCGCTACATAGGGATCAAGCAGTGAACTAACTCTGGCTTCTCTTTTTTCATCAGCGTCTTCTCCAAGGGTACCTTCCCTGAGGTTAGCTTCCACCTACCCTCCTGACCTGATCCTTAATGCCGTCTTTCACACCCCCCCATGGCCATCCCGAGATATTTGGCTAGCCTTCCAGTCAACAAGCACTCCGCTTCTGTTAAGCTGACCCTATCACGCTTTAGGTGTACGTCCCTACCGTCTTCGAGAACTACGTCGCCGACGTAGAGGTCGATGGCAAGCACGTCGAGCTTGCCCTTTGGGATACGGCTGGTCAGGAAGATTATGACCGTCTTCGTCCTCTTTCATACCCTGACTCCCATGTCATCCTGATCTGTTTCGCGGTTGACTCTCCCGATTCCCTCGACAACGTCCAGGAGAAGGTTAGTTCTCCGCGACATGCCTGGTCTCCTTAGCGGGTAGATGGGCAAAGGACCTGCTTTCCAGATAACTAATATCATTACAGTGGATCTCTGAGGTCCTCCACTTCTGTCAGGGACTCCCCATCATCCTTGTTGGTTGCAAGATGGATCTGCGCCACGACCCCAAGACCATCGAGGAGCTTCACAAGACCTCCCAAAAGCCGGTTACCCCTGAGCAGGTATGTGGCACACAACCAAAAGGATGCATCATCCCCCGATATAGAGGCTAATATGCGATTAGGGTGAGGAGGTTCGCAAGAAGATCGGTGCTTACAAGTACCTTGAGTGCTCTGCGCGCACCAACGAGGGTGTCCGCGAGGTCTTCGAGGCTGCCACCCGGGCTGCCCTTCTTACAAAGACTCACAAGAGTAAGAAGAAGTGCACTATCCTGTAAACTAGTTTTCTCTCCTTCGCAAAAGGTCTGTTTCATGCGGAGATTATATGAACGGATAAGCGTCTGATCCTTTGGTTTTCTACTATTTATTAAGAGGGGGTCATTCCGTTGGCGTGTTCCACTATGTGTGCCCGGATGCGAGTGTGGATAATGTTCAATCACGGGCACATGAGCTTCATGGGATATCTGGCTATGCACTTGGTCGACTTTCTATTTTGCAGACTTGATTTGATTTTCTAGGGAGGCGTTGTCTTCATAACCTCGTGGGTTTTTTCTTTTTTTTCTTTCCTATCGGTTTCCAGCTCCATAGGCGCCTAACGGGATGGTCCTCGGTCACTATGGCAAGAAGGGCGCCAGGTTGCCTTCAAAGCAAACGTCCTCGCTACCCCCGAGTACTGCAGATCGGAATTGAGCAACTGGGGAATGCGTTCGTCTCACGTCTCTCCCATCAGTCAATTCTCTCTCCAATGTATCCGGTCCAAGGAAAGAAAAAGAAGTCGAGAATCGAAATTTCGATTCTCACTTTGTACGGATTCCCCTCAGCACAGTCTTATCCCCCATTTCTGTTGTTTTTCCCCCCTGTTTCGGTTAAAGAGAATGCATGGAATTTGTCGTTGGCTTGGTTTTCTCCTACATGTCCTGCAGCCTATCCAGTCGAAACTGCACTGCATCATGTTCTATCGTCATGGTGGGTCTCCGAGCAGACATGAGGAATATCTAGCACGCCTATTAAGTTACTATTTACTAATCCACCATTTTCTCCCACTCTTTTCTCGTACTGTGATGATCCTATTGCGTATGCACTGCGTATTCTCCTAGTACCACCATCTTTTTTAGCATCCGTACTTTCTGACCTACCTCAAATAGCAACACTCCATAGCCTAACATAGCGATATTCGGCAGCCTACAGACAGGGAAGGGGGGTGTGGATAGTAGACAGCAAGCCAAGGGGGGATTTGCCAATCCACTGATAGCTAGCGTCTAATGATAGTAACACTAGCCGGACTAGATAGAAGTCAAGACGTAAGTTCAACCACGACCACTCATCCTGGTTTCTCCATACATATATGGAAATTCGATAGTAGTGAGATAAACAAGGAAACAAATAGATAGATAGTAGATATATTTATAAAGCAGAAGATATAATGTAGTCATATATAGTATGTGATAGAAATAGGAATTAAGTCGTTATGCGGTATGTAATGATCCCGTTCAAATTCAATTGGTTTTTCATACATACGTTCGTACTGGGCGGTTCTGTATGTGACTTACGGACGGGACTAATCGTTTTTCAGGGGTAACGAACTATCCTCCTACTATCTACACAATTTGTGTACCTGGGTTTTTCTTCCCTACATGACTATGTACTTCTTTTATAGTAAGTAGTAGGTGTAGTTTGAGTTTATATATATATATTTTATTATATAGATGCTGAAAAATAATTCAATCATTGGGTGTTCTACTATATGTACTACTAGGTACTCATTTGAATATATTGTGAATTTGACATGATAAATTCAAAATGAACATGAATTATCGAATCAAAACCACATGACAACTCACTTACCTTGCCTGTCATATATGAATATCCACTTCACTGTATCTCATGCTTCTTCTTCTTACCCCGAGTCATGTATCGTGTGAAGCGTGCATCTTTTTCCGCCTCGCTTGTAGGTGGGTTTGATCTGTGGGTATGATCTTCATCCAGAGAGGATAAAGAATTAATAATCTTCGGCTACAGTGTCTACTTGCAGTTGCTATTTCCCGTTGTCTGATTGGTTCAGTATTTAATATATTGTAGGTAGTAGTACTGGCAGTGTGAATAATTTGCCATATTCACTGCAAATAGTGACTATCAAAGGATAAGTACCAATTGAGTCTCTTTATTGGTTCGTAAATGTATATACATCATGTCATGTCTTATCTATTCAAGCTGAGTAAATTCTCAATATAGCGTCTTGCGTCCAGGCCCAGCCCTTCGACAAGTTTCCCCGGTCCTGTATCGGTCCGCGATGCCTGCAATCCCGGCGATGAAGCGCCGCCTAGATCGCGGAAGAACCGAGTGCTGCTACTGTTGCGTGCATGTCCGGACGGAGAGACGGAGTCACTGGATCTGCGGACGATGAATGCTTCCTGATGGGGGGCATTGTTGCTGTCCGGCTCCGTATTGGACTGAACACTGGCGTTGGAGGCTGTGCTCCCTTGTTCTTGTCTGGGGGGTTCGGACATCCGAATCCAGACGATCCACCAGCCGCGGCTGGTCTTGCAGGTTCTTTCGACCTCGAGAGGTCGCGAGCGGGTT